CGTTTTATCTTCCCGGTTCATTTTTCTTGGTTCTTTCGGTAAAGTCACGTAGAAGGGAAGTAATAAAATAATAAAAATAAAACATAATAAAATAATTCTCACGACGTTTCGGCTACAACGCAAGCAGCCGTCTTCAGGTGAAGAATGAGACACTACCAAGCTAAGAGCTTATATATATATAAGCTCCTAGCTTGGTAGTGTCTCATTCTTCACATTCTTCACCTGAAGACGGCTGCTTGCGTTGTAGCCGAAACGTCGTGAGAATTATTTTATTATGTTTTATTTTTATTATTGTATTACTTCCCTTCTACGTGACTTTACCGAAAGAACCAAGAAGATGAATCCCTGCAGTCACGAAAGCTTTAATTCGAAATTTCCCGGTTCATTGTTTCTAAAGCTTTGCTGTTCTTTCGTTCATTGTTGTAATTTAGTTTTCCCATAAAACGCCCTTTGTCTATGCTGTGTTGTTGTTGTTGTTGTCGTCGGAATACTAAGGAGGGCAATGATACTGGAGCCCTAAGATGTCTTGCCATCTTTGCCGCTGACCTTCAGGTTGAACTGTGCCCAGAGGGCTTTTTAAAAAGTCCCCACGCGCTCGGTAACTACTTTGCAAGAGTGATGCTCACGCATGTGCCCTGTTTAAATGAGCAAAAAACTGCCTCAAGGACCCAGATATCCAATAGTCGTGTGAAATTATTTAAAATGAATAAAAAACTCTACCATTACCATTTTTCCCCGTAGCACACGGATTAATTTTTGAGCTTTAATGCAGTACTCTTGATGACAAAAAAATACGGCTTATCAATCATTATTCTGATTGCGATGTGTTTTATTTGAAAAAGAAAGTGCCGTCAAGAATCTAAAAAGGAACGTGGTGTTTCAGAAAGGTTGCTGTACAAGATGGCGAGAGATTACGGAAACCTAAAATTACTCAGCGGCATGACACAACTGGCAGGCTTTGATTTTTTTAGAGCGAGCACCGAAAATCACGGCGAGATTAAGTGCGGTCAACATTTACTTTTACAAATGGGAAAAAATAATTGTGTTTACATGTGTTAAACCTTACATGCTTATGAACCACCTGAGAATACTGGAAATGGTAAGGTGGCATTTCTTCATAGCATATCTTTAATTCTGTTCTGCATTCCTCGATTTTCATGACTATGTTAACATGAAAAATAAATACTGATTTGTCAACAAATAAACCGACTAAATCCACGAACTTTTTAAAGCACTTAGGTGCATTTAGAGTCAATTTACTAGTTGTGTTAAATCGTGCACATAATCATTACCGACATGCTAATTTGTAACGGGACATTTTTTGTGAGGGAACGTGGAATAATTGACGCACATTTTACCCAAAAAAATATTCGACTGCAAAAGCAAAACACAAAGTGGGAGACAAACCGAACGGCAAATAATTCCCTTGAGTCGGTCGAGAGAACAACATTTACGTGTTTCACTACAATTCTTTGAAACACCAGTGGGGAAAAAAACATATTTTTAAGAATTGAAAACAAGTTTTTATCGTGATTAAAATCTCTATTTTGCGACCTTGCATTGAGTCAAAAGTATAATTTGTAACATTAAGTTGGGTTGCAAAATAGAAGCCAGAAACATGGATTTGCAAAAAAAACGGGGAAGTTTTCCAATCCATTCATTCCGGTGCCATTTTGCAGGTGGAGAGTTTTTTTTTTCCATAAACTTACCACCAGTACAATGTGAGAATTTTCACACCAGCGCTGTGCCCTGACATACGTTAAAGAATGTAACTTCGCACAATGTGACATTGCAACTGGAGCCCTCATTAAATTCATAGCCCAATTCACAGATAAAGTAGTGTGTGAGTGTGTGTGTGTGCCACCATAATAGCATGGTTTAATGACATTGCCTACTTTTGTGAGCTGCCCAGGGAAAGATTAGGCGTACGCATTGTACAATGTTCACACATATGATGAAATATATGGGGAAATAATCCAACATTTAAAATTTTCATGGCAGTGCTAACATGCCATGTAAATAGCCTAAAATGTTAACATTAAATCAATCCGTTTGTGTTTTAACGCCCAAGGTGTTAATACATTTGGTCTGCCCATTTTTCTGTTTGTCGCGTAGGGTCACAATAATTTTCGTCAAGATGATCCAATAAAAAATAACTTTTCGTATAAAGTCGGCTTATTACCAGGGACTTATTCGACAGATTAAACAGCCACATTTACGAAAAAAATGTTTCACAAACGTTTGCAATAAAAACGTTGCACTTAAACAAATAAGGCTTCTCAGCCAAGGCGATTACATCACACGCAAGGCGCAAGGTGCGCTCCTTGCTTCTCCACGATGACATTGCATGTGACGTCATGTCACGAAATCACGCGTGATTCAACTTGCGACATCGTTTCATTGTGCTGCTCGTAACGTAACATTTACTCGTAGTCGTCGTCATTGTATAAAAAAAAAGTTATGAGATAATTATCACGAATGATACGCTTATGAAGACGAGCACATATTGGAAATGGTCCCAGAGCCGCATGGGTATGCGGTGCTTTTCCTTCCTTGTTGAATCTACATTTTTTGCTAGATTTTGCTGAGCTCCAATGTTTTGTTCTTTTGCAATGCTATGCCTCAGTATTTATGCAGTTCACTCTGGGGTCATTTTCAAATGGGCGATTTGGGCAGTGAGCAAATGCCATGCGATGCATGGCATAGCTTTTATAATTGTAGCACTCTGCTGAGAAATGCCACAGGGTCATCGGTCTCTACGCTAACCGCGTGCGGCCGCGCTTTTTGATTTTTTTGTTGTTGCAACCATTACACGGTGTTGCCAACAGCGGCACAGTCAAATCCGTAGACACAAGCCGAGTGAGAAATGTGCTAAAGACTAAAGCCGTATCGGATCACCCGACAGCGACATTACTCAGAAGTAATGTGAGAAATGCGGTTAGCGACAATCGGTGTCACGGTGTGATGAATAACGTGCAAATATTTTTTACAGCAATTTAATTAAAGGTGTGTGGTGTGTTGATTTGACAACAACGTTATGACACTGCATTAGATAAAACATGCTTTCAAATGTCATGTTTCAATTTAACCAAACTATATGTGCCCTTTATTTTTTAAACGGTGACAACATATAATCATATTTGAAGCCAACGATCCTGAAAAACGAATCGTGTTTCCAGAGGTTTTAGCTTCGAAATTTTGAGAAGAAAATGATAAAAAAAATGTCCATCAGATTTTTTTTGTATCGGACCAAACGTATTATTGTATGAGTGTGTATTACTAAAGGACACAATACAAATACATTAAATGAACGTGTTTATGCCAAGAGGTGCCAAATTCTGCAATACGGCTCTGAGGCCCACATAGGTTTGTAGCAGGCAACTGTGTGAGCACATTGACTGTCCGCCCATCTACAGCAGAGTGCCACGGAATTTAAAGGCGTTGACATTATTGGAACCTCATTTGCCAGTAAAAAATATGATAATTGGTTTTTTACCCTTCCATCTGGCAACAAAACTAACTGGTCCAACCCATGTGAGACTAGGCTCTAAGGAAAGCTGTCTCGGGTGTGGACCAATCAACTTCAAGGACAGTGCACATTATCAGAGTAATGTTTTTTGTTTGCATTATGACTGCAGGTATTGTGGTCTATGCAAACATGACTCCTTGTAAAAAAGGTGTCAGTTTTGTTGCCAGATGGAAGGATAAAAAAACAATTATCGGCGTTGACATTGTTGAGCAGTCAGCCCGTTTACCACTTCTTGCAGACGTTCACGGTTCGAGCCCAGGGGACGACCTGGTTAACACCGCGGGTGATTGAATCCAACATACGCAGGCGCGTACTTCGCAGTGGCCTGTGATACTCCTCAACCACCTCCGTGGACAATTATAGTTGTTGCCCTACATCGACGGTGATAACAAACGAAAAATAATCCTGTGATGTTATTCCTTGCTTCTACCAGAAAATTACACTATTGTGAAATATTTAGTGCCTCCACAAAAAAATTACACGGATACCAAAATGTAAAACATTTATATTCATAGCGTGGTACCCAAGCTATGGAACGCTTTGTCACTTGAAATCAGGCAATCGGAATCGGTAGATATATTGAAAACTGCTTTGAAAGCCCATCTCTTTAAAGTGGCCTTCCCTCTTTAGGTTGGTCACTTGCCCTGGTTCTGACTTTGTTTCCTGCGTTTCACGAATTGTGCATTGGGATCCTCGGATGGAATTCGCATTATAAATTAGATTTATTATTTTTTAATTGTATTCAACTTTTACTTTCCCGGTTGATTTCAATCCAGGCATTAAGACAGTTCTGGATATTGAAAGCAGTGTGACACCTGGGAGATGCGGATGGCAGGATATGCGTGGCCGACTGGACAGCACATTCACCACTCAACCAGTCTGCAGTTTGAGGTACACAGCTCATCCGTAATGTATAGGTTGCCTTAAGAAGAGTGGCTTTTAGAACCCCCCTGTGACGAGCATCCCCTCTTTGTGCTGTTGCCATGGTTAAAAACAGGGGTCGAAATAAAGCAAATGAGAATAATGTATCCTACCATTTATAATGGAAGATAAACATTGTGACTCAAAAAATAGGGACATTCAATACCATAGAAACTGGATATAAAAATAGATTTTATAAGCAGAGGTCTTGTATTTATGTCCTGTGATATTTCCACCTGCAAACTCCCTTGAGATCAAATATCTGATTTGCAAGTTAATACATGGTGTCATTAGACACATAGCAACCTAATTAAGTGAGAGACATTTTCATGGGAATTTTTTACCTACATCACCGCCTTCAGAGTTCCGATATAAACAAACCATCCGCACTCTGTAGCGGTGGAAGGAAGGCAAAGGTAACTTCTGATTCAAGCAGATCTAAGCACGCATGGCCTTACTCCAAGTGGGGCGTGCTCACATGCCGCTTCTACTTTAGAAAATCGTAAAACTACGTAAACAAATACAATCAACTGAACTTGGAGCGGTGTACCTGACAGGACCGTGAAGACCGCTGCGAAGGCGTTGAGCTTAAGCCCCTCGATGATGTTGGTAGATCGACAGCGTTCCAGGCACATAAGAGCAAATCCCACAGTGAGCAGGATCAGGTACAGCGATTCTGACACCATCGACAGAAGCAGGACTCCTGCAAGACAGATCCCACGCGAGTGCATGCCTCAACCTCCAAGCACGGGGCATGACGCTCGCGCAGTACACTTTGACGTGCCATTCAATTGACGGAGAATATTAAGCGTGTCAATGTTGTGCCCAATAACGGTGTTATTTTGTTGTGCTCCACATTTGGATCAGATCTCAGGGCGCACGGTCAATTGGCAGACTATTTTGGTAACGGCGTGGACAACTGTGAACACACGCCACGCGGCATACACTCGACAGCACGGCTGTAACGTAAACATCCAATCACAATTGTGTCACAAGCGCAACCTCGAATGAAAGGTGCATTTTGACGGCGCGAGTCTCCGCGGCTGCGCCACGCAGCTCCCCTGATGCGTACTTGGGGTTGTTCCCCGCTCTGGGAGCTGAGCGACCTGACCGAAGCTCCCCAAGCACGCAGAGGGACACGTTGGGCATCGTAGCAGAGAGCGCGCGCTGCAACTCCAAATCGCGTCGAGGGGGAGACTGAATAATTAATAAAGATTTTGTTCCAGTGACCTGGCAACTCCATAGCTGATCCGGTACGTGCACAGTGAGATTTGTTTTGCGAATAATTTGCTGCCAATTTTATGACGATGTCTCAATTGCCATATCAGGAGCTTACGCAAGTGTTTATTTTTTTTAAGGATGTAAGCACTTTTTAAAGGAGTGCAGTTTTATAAGAGCACTTTGTGCAGCAGTATTGTGCTCAATAGCCAAACACGAATGCCTTGCTGCCAAAAGCTGTGAAGCTATCTCTGAATATGGCGTTCCATTTTATGCTGCAGGCCATTACAAACCTCGGCACGAGCACAGTTACTGCCAGTTCACATCCCAGTCCAGCACAAGCTCGTGCCAACGAAACAATCCGTAATTTAAAGATATGGCGACAAACACTAAACACTGTGGATGCCCTTTAACGGAAACCTTACGTAGCAAGCTTCCCAGCGTGAAATCACTTAGCGCACCCGTGGAATACACATACAGTGTGCTTTAGCTGATGTGCACGTGACAGGGCACAGCACACAAATCTTGTGTTCACGTGCCCACAGCCACATGCACACTCAAGAGGCATGTTAAACGTATCATAGCAGTGCATGGTCGTCTTTGAATGCCGTATAATAAAAACAAAATACCCACATTAATTCTAGATTTGAAGCTTTCGTGACTGCAAGGATTCATATTCTTAGGTTTTTTCGGTAAAGTCACGTAGGTAAAAAGATTAAAATTAAATTAATAAAAGTAAAATTAAATAAAAATAACAAATATTTTATTTTTATTTTACTTTTATTAATTTATTTGGTAGGGGGAGCTAAATAAAGTAAAATAAAATAAAAATTTGAATATTTTATTTAACTTTTATTAATTTTATTTTTTTACCTACGTGACTTTACCGAAAAAAACCTAAGAATATAAAAATACCCACACACATTAGTACACGATATTTAAAATTGTTTTCCCCATCATTATTATCATCATCATCACACATATTAAGCCGTAGTCAATGCACCGCTGCATGAAGCTGTCGCCCCTCGCGTGATCCCGCAAGGTGGTGGAATGATCCACCCAGCACCTGCACGCAGTCTGATTTCATCCAGTCCTACTCGATTTGGAATTAGCGCTATGCAACAAAAAGGCGTACAACAATGTTTATCATATATAATTCATGAATGCCGTGGTAATAGTCATAACACATAAATCACATTGCATTTTAAAATTACTCGACAAGATATCGTGGTCTGGCTGATATAAGCTATTTCACCGTATTATAATTTATCACCATTTTCTTTCCTTCCTGCAAATGAATTACAGGTCTCTCTCAAGGCCCTCCGGCTGAAACTATTCATAAATCTCGCCGCATTCAACCTAAAAAGAGACACGTACAGATTTGGTAGGGGGAGCTAAATAATTGCAAAAGACAATATTGAAGTTGATCTGTTAAAGCAAGTTCCGTCTCACCCTTAGGGGTGGTTCCTACAACGCAGACAGCGTTGGGGGTGATTTGCAACTGCAGGAGGTTATGTTTTATTTGCTTTGCCTTTCTCAAAAATTAAAACGCTGGGGTAGCAAGAGGACGGATTGGAGGTATCATGCAGTCGGTGCAGGCAGGTGGGCAAAGTGTTATGATTTTGATGACATACTTTACACTCGTACGATTTGGGCCCCTGTTGTTTCTGTGAATTTTAAAATACATTTCACTCATCCGCTTTTACTCTCGTGAGTCGAATTGATTTCATGCGAACGCTGGCTGTCCCTTGGCAAAGTTCTGGTCATTACTTTACATATTTATGGGGCGGGGGGGGACCCCTTAAAGAAATGTTTTACGTATAAAAAATATATAAACAAAGTATATTGACCTCCTCGTGGACTAATGCTGTTTGAGCCTTCAGCATGACAAATGACGTATTATAGTGGTGACAGCAGCAGGTACACAGTGGGAGGATTAATAACCTCTGTTCCGCTTGGCAACGTGCGTAATGCTATTCCCTCCAAGGCAAGGGCTGCCAATGCAAGTCTGTTTTTGGTAAAACTGCTGAATGGAGGTCTCCTTTGTCGAAAAAATGACCTCTGCAAGATTATCACTTCAAATTAATTCACTAGTTTGCACTTAATCACCTCTATTGTTTATATTAGGTTTTTATTTTTATTTAAAGCTTTCGTGACTGCAGGGATTCATATTCTTGGTTCTTTCGGTAAAGTCACGTAGAAGGGAAATAATACAATATAAAACAATTGTTTCATATAAAACAATTGTTTTATATTTTTACTATTTTATTATTTCCCTTCTACGTGACTTTACCGAAAGAACCAAGGATATTAGGTTTGCTGTTAAGTTTGTTAATGATTGTATTTGGGTGGTGAAAAATATTATGATAACAGTGAAACTTGACGTCTGCGTGTCAAATCAACGGTTATTTAATGAGCAGAAAATTTAGCTTCCAGTTGGATTTGGGAAAGACCTTAATTTAAAAAGTTATATATTTTACCTTGCAGCATGCTCTCTTATGATATAATGTTACTTCTTATGCTGAATCAATAATCTTGCTGCAAAACTAAGAACTGACTGAATGAATGCCAATCTCTGGATCACATCGTCTGCTGTCGGTGCTTATCCTTAAGCTATGTGTGTGTGAGTGGACCTTTATAACTGCGCATTGTTGAATTGTGCCAAGATGCCTGTTTTTGCAATTGATGTTTTGGGGGTGTTATTGGTGACCTGGTCCAGGCTGCCACACTGCTACATAAAATAACATTTTTTTCAGCGCTAAAACTTAGTAAGCATTAATACGTGTCAAAGTCCCGCAATATCAGCCTCATTCAGAAGTTGTAAAAATCTATTTTAGTTTTTGAGGGCGCCTATCATTAATTCTCGCAGACAATCCAAGCCATGTAATTTCTTCGGTATAAAAAAAAACGAATGCCTTCAATCTCCAAAATGTTGGAACATGCTTCTGTGAAAGATAGTTCTTAAACAAATTTCTACGGATTTCATGAAAATTGTCACAGAAAGACTGAATTTAAATCGGTGAATACTTCAATGCGCTTTGTAGTGTATATTCAAGGTTGAGTCGAGTCATCCACTCGTCTGTTCAGTTCAGACTGAGCCCATTTTTCCACAACATCCTGCACGTGTAGATTAATGTTAACTCTGAAACAACCTTTGAACATGTTACACCATTAGCTACTCAGTAACCTGCATAAAAAAATGTCGCTCGTTTCCTTGACATTTTAAATAACTTTAAAGCAATTTTGTGTTAATAAAACAATTGTTAATAGCATTCACACGTCAACGCATAGAAACATTTAAACGGTGGAAGCGTTAAGGGAAATAATTCAGCCTACCTTTCTCTGATGCTGGAGCCAAATCTATAAAGCTCCGACACTTTTCGCCTGCGGAAGAGAAAATAAAACGTATTTATCAGGAGTCGGGAAAGACAGAGCATCAGGCCAAGTCCGTTTCCAATGGAAAAGCTGTCATCACCATCCAGCTGAGAAATCAATCACGAATCGATAAGGTGTAACACCTGCAGCAACGACTGCAGTGCAGTCAACTGACAAGGCTGGCTCTTAGACTCTGACAAAGCGTATACGCAAAGTGAGGTGCATTTAAAAGCAAAGCGCTTACTTTAAAATCCTGTGCACGCACACATACACACACACACTTCACATCTACATGGCACAGTCGCATGAAATTGCTTTTTTGAATGATAATATTCACTATTTTTAAGTAGTATAATTATTATTTAAAAAAAATAAGCCAGGGTTAAATTGGTCACCATGGGGAACATTTTGAAGCTGCTGAGAAGTTACGTTGAATATATAAATCGTGGGTTCGTAAAATATTTTACCGAAATGATAACAATACACAGTTGTTATTTTTGTTTACAAAACATCTTGTAAAAGAAAGTTGAATACATTTTATCCGGCGATAATGTTTTTAATGTTCTTTCTTAGCCAAAAGCAACATTAATACACGGGGCGTAATTCTGTGGATACACAATATCTGACTCTAACACTGTATTTCGTCAAACATGTTTTATGGATAATGCCTTTATTTCTATGCTTGACCTTATTCCCAAAATAGCAATGCATGAATCCATTTCGTACCAATGCTGAGAAATGAATTTGTTTTTCACTTCATTCATCTTTGAAACCCATCATACTGCACATGACAACATCTTGAGTGATAGTTCATTATACAAGGCAATTACCGCACTGAATATGGAAACAGTCACTGCAACCTCTGATATCTGTGTCTTTTTATGTTATAATAAGTCGGCGATAATAAGTAAATAGATAATTTACGAAACGGCCTCTCTTTAAAAGGAGAGCCCAAATAATGGATTGTTCAAAATATATAGATTTTATTTAATCGTGGACTCCCTTCACTCTGTTGATGCATCACTGCGATTGTATCTTTTTTCCGTTTCTATTTCCTGTCGCTTAATTGAAAGACGCTCTGATTGTAACGTCAGCCAAATGAGCAGCAGTGTCCCTTCATACTTTTAAAAATGCAAAGGAAATGGCAAAAAGACCGCAGAACATTGGAAAGTACGATAACACGCAGTCGGAGACGCGGACAAATTCCGATTGTTTTTGTTGTTGATGATCATTATTATTCAGAGCCCTCGGAAATGCTATCTTGCCAAATGCCAATTTCATTGCATTGAAAAGTGTACGGCAATACCTTTTTGGTTTTCAGTGATATAAGCAGATGGTAATAGGTAGCTTTAAATGCCCAACAAGTAGATTGAAGCGTGATAGCGAGAAAAAATGGATTAAAGCTATTCATCAAACTCACTATCATTTTGTGAAAAAAGAAACAAGATCACATAATCTTTTTAGTTTGAACATTGTTCTGGAGACTTTATCAAAATGGAAATTTCAAAGCCAGTTATTCGAAGCAAACTAAACGCATACATTAAAACATCCCACATTAATCATTAAGTGATAGAAATATGAGGTGTGCAATGGTATGTTGTTGTTCATTTCAACAAATCAACTCTTATATGTACAGAAAGTGAAACACGTGGATTAGCAGATCCGCTTAGCACGGTTGGCAACGTATGGTGCTAAAGAAGTTCAACAAACATGTGTAGTGGGTTCACTTGAGAGACACACAAATTCAAGAGGCAACACTTTATTCCACGCCCACAACAGGATAACTACATAACCGGTAACCACCACGGGATAACTACATAATCGATAACCACCACGGGGTATCTATATAAACGGGTCAGGTCAGTCGGTACACTGCCTGACCCACGATGCCGAGCACGGAGACCAGAGGCCGAGAATAAGACGCAGCACGGCGGGTTCCATTCCAGCAGACATCCCCGATGGGACCCCGGGACCTTCCTTTTATGCCCCCCGCGTGGCCTGGCTCCGCCCTCGGTCACGCCCCCTTCTGGAACTTCCCAGAAGATTCTGGGCCCTACACCACGTGTCCCTTCTGTCACCTTTGGCCCACATCCTTACCCTGTCTTGTCACGTGTCATTGCCAGCACAATCGGGCTACTACGTCCTCAAATGGCCCCTACTCTGCCCGCCCCCAGAAGCATGCTCCCATAGAGACCTCTTTCATGACATCGTGTACTCTGCTGGCAGAGAGGGCTACTACACACGCAACTCCTCTCTCTGTCATTATATGTCACTACACATGCATGGAGAACAAATGCGAGACGGCATATTGTGCTTGGGACGAGATGTGTGTCGCTTAAAAAGGATAATGGCCGTGGTGATGGAGTGGCAGCCCAGGGAAGGAACATGTGCCCGAACAGGATGTCCACTGTGTAGATTGAGTCACGAGATCACCTCGTTGCAGGAGGTAGATGGAGCGTTGCATCACGGGATCTTGAGAGGATTGGCGATGGCTTTGGAAGGCCTTCATCCAACAATGGCCGATGTTGACAATTACATATTACCAAGTGGAAATGTGTTTGTTTAAAGTAATTTAACAGGTCGCATGCAGTAAATACATTACTTTAAAATCGTAGAAATGGTATTGTCTCAGGTGTTTTTTGATCATTCTGTATAGCATCTCATTAGTTTTTGAGATACTGCTATTCTCAGCATGTCTAATGTTCACTCAATGGACCTTGTATTTTAACAGACTTGAACCTATTTGCTGAAGTATATATATTTAATGTGATTCCCATTATCTGTAACAGAATCTTCAGCATTCTGTGAATTTCGTTAATAGGCACAATTAAGCATTTCAGCCTACTCTAACTTTCTTACTAATTACCCCATTCCATTAGTGTAGTTGTGTTGCAAGCGATTAATGAGTGTGAACGAATAATGTATGGTTTAGGGGATGATTGAGATTTTTAAACAATAGGCAATTTATTGTGTTTTTTTATGTTGAGATAAATATTTGTCAAATCTCTTGCAATTCTTAATGAAATTAATAGGACTTATAAAATTACTCCTTTCTGCGAATGCAAAGCAACCGTTGCCAATTGAACAAAATAGTAACTAAGGATTTAAAGCATTCAAATGCAAATCAGAGCAGTTGCAGTGATGTTTTTTTGTTGGTAATTGCAGAGTTAAATGGAGGCGGGTCACACAATCCAAGGATGCTGCTGCCATGGTGTGATGAAAAGCGACAGTGGATTTGCAAACCACTGCAAACGATAGTGCACGTTTCTTAAACCAACCCCCGCATTTCCCACCAGCCCCCGACCCAAGTCTAGCCAGGAGTATGCGTGGGTACACCAGCTCGCTCGGTCGAGAGGTCGCGTGTCGCAGGATAAAGTTTCACTATTCACAGATTTTCGAAGAATGTCTGTCCGGCGTGGTAAAAGAGTAGGACAAAATACCCTCCTTGGGGGGGGGGGGGGGGGCTCTCTGGAACTCCCTCGAGTGGGGGCCCTTCCGCCAACAGTGGCGCGAGTAATTGCAGGGCTGCACCTTTACCTTTGCCTACACTTAAGGTAACTGCACTCCAGTTCCCGGCCGTCAACATTTTCTCGTGTTGCCAACAATGGCTCTGCCCGGGCTACTTTGTAAAGAACAAGGTGACATTCTTGACATATTTTTAAACTAAAAACTCTATTCGTGATCATGAACACCGCCTTCATTATAAGCCAGCTTGAATCTGATAATATTTTTAACGCAGTACAATGAATACAAGGCAATTTGTCGTTGGCTAATGACAAATGTTGGATGCTGGTGGCGCTTATATGAAGTGTTTTTATTGGAGAAAACATTTTGTTCTTTGTACCTAATGATGAATCCACGTTTCTGGAACAACATTTCTACCCACGTTGCACATACTTTTCCGTGCACAATAATAATGGAGGATTATCAAGACGACGTTTAATGCATTCTGAATAATACATTCGGTCACACACACTCGCCAAAAAGCGCTTTCCTTTTAATTATTCATGCCGGTGAAAAGTTTACTAAATCTTTACACATTTTCAGTAGTCTCCGTGTGAATAAAAGTGCACTCGTGTTCACATCGTATACCTTAACAACAACAAAAATTGATGCTATTCCCAAACTAGAAGTTAGTATCAATGGCAATACCTTGAAACTTTAATCAATGATCTCGCAGAAAATCAAGAATGTAACTGATCTCATCAGATCCCAGAAGCTAAGCAGGTTGGCACCTGCATAGTCCCTGTAGTAGGTGGTCTCCACGTGCATAAGACAGACCAGCGTGGTGAAGTCTGATCAAATATTTATCATGGCCAGCAAATCATCGGGAGGTCCTCAACCCAGCAGTCGAACGACCACGTGGGTTGTACACGCACACAGACGTGTGAACATTCAGAATATCACTTGAGTTCAGATTTTCCTCTTTTTTTTGCCTCCCTTGTTATCGTGCTTAAAAGGCAAACACCATATTACAAGTATCGACAAGCAGAAATTGGCTTTTAAAACTAATAATCGTGGAATAACGATAAATGAGGTTGAAGAGTCATTTTATTGTGCACGTCAGCTGAAAGGATCTTTTTCAATAATTATTATCAGATTGCTTCATGCTTCTTTATTAAATTAACATTGATTTTGTCAATATTTATTGTACATGGTCTAATTATAGGGGAGTGAAATGATCCTTTAAGACCTCTTAAAGTCCATTATACTTTTTGTAATTACAATTGAAGTGGAGATTAATTTTGAAACGACAACAAAAAATCACTCTCCTCTCTGCCTGAGCAGCAATGCAGGATGCAATTTATTTTGCATGACTTTTCCTTCCATACCTACGGTGGACTAACAGGCCCAAATCCAAGCATGCCCTTGGCTTTCGAGTCGATCAAATCCTCCACAAGATTAACTCCCGCGATGATAAATTAACCCTCGTGTTCCACCGCGCTCACCAGAATATAATAAACGAGGGTGTAGCAAAAAGGCCCGAAGCCATACAAGGCAAGGTTATA